ACCTGCTCCACCAGTGTCGGCCGCAGAACCCTTGCTCATCTGCAGAGCTGTGGGCCAGGTTGTGGCGGGTCCCCCTGTGGTTCCCTGGGGGACTCTCTTGCACCCACTGGGACCAGCGTGGGACTCTTTTTGTCTACAGTGTAGCCTCTCACTCACCCCCAGGGCGGCCTGAGACCCCCTGATGTGAGGGAGCCCCCACCCCACCTACAAGTCTCTGTGCAAACGCTCAGGACACGGACGCTCAGTCTAGGGGCAGCGCGGGAGCCCGGCCCCCACGCCTGCACTGTCATCAGGCGCACATGCAACGTAGAGAGGATGGCAGGGGTTGGGCGTGTCTGCCGTGCATACGGCTCGGTGGTGATGGAGTGTCAGGGAAGATGCAGGTGGAGACGCGCACGCAGCTGGGAGCTGAGTGTTCTCTGTCTCCCACAGTCTGCCTGGGCCTTTCCCCATGCCCGCTAGCTGCCTGGTGGGGGTGGGGCCGCTGGGGGTGCCCACCAGCTTAGTTCCATCCCACTGTCTTGGTTGACAGCTCCTTGAGCCGGACAGTAACTCAGCTTTTTGGAGACCGACCTCCAGGCGCGTCCAGGGCCCCGAGCCTGCCCCGAGCGGTCATCCCCGGCAGCTGTGGTGGCTCCTTGGGGACCATTTCTGGGGACCTGTGAGCAGAGGGGCGAGCCCTTTGGCACGAGGGGCTGTTTGCTGGGGGGACTTCCTCTCAGCTCTGCCGGTGGGCGTCCTTACAGCTTAGCAGGTGTCTGGACTGGCTGTGGCATGAAGGCATGGCTGCATAGCCGTAAAATAAGCATCATGTTAATTAGCCCTCCTGGTTATACGGTGGCAAGACTCACTCGGTGTGTGTATGTGTGCACGATGTTTGTGTGCACACATGAAGGGCGGGGCACGCATCCCTGTGTGTGTGCGTTACTTATGTGTGGGAGGGGCATGTAGCTCAGCTGCTCACCCAGCAGCTCCAAGGGAGGAAGCCCTGCAGGGCAGCCTGCTTCCGTCATGCCCACGGACTAAACCTGGAGCCCTAGGCAGTGCTGCTCGGTTTCAGGGCTCACTGGTAGCTGAAACCCCTCCACGTGTCCAGCACTGTTGCCGGCCGGTGAAACGCATCATCGCTCTGGCTTTCCTCCAAAGGCACAGCGGGGGATGGTTTGGTGACTTGCTCTGTCCACTTTCTGACCTGCCGTGTCAAACACATCACTCGGCCGTGTCCTTTCTAATTGCTTCCCTGCCCTGTGCATGGGCGCGCCAGACGGACGCTCTGCCCCCGTGGGCAGCACCGCCGTGGAATTCCAGTGCACATGCCTCTGTGCGCAGTCCTCTGCACACATCTTCCTGCACACCAGGGAGTCCTTGTACACAAGTGTAAAGACTGATTCGCTATCACTAGCCCAGCACGTTCTCACCCCAGGAGTGCCTGAGACGGACACACCCCCTCGTTGTGGCTGGAGCTGCCCGAGTGAGACGAAAGCCGCTCCCTGGACGGGTCTAGGACCAGAAGTCGTGTGCCCAGAGGCCACTGCACGGGATGTAAAATGAGACTGCAGAGCCGCTTGGTTCTGCATCTGGGTGCATTTTCTGCGTGTGGAGCCCCCTCTTCCCTGGGCTTCCCAGCAGGCCCCCCTTTCAAAGCCCCTCTTGCTGTTTTCAGTGGTTCAGTTGCGGGGGGCCGACATCAAGGATCATGTTGGGAAACACCCCATGGTAACCAGCTGGTGGGGGCGTGAGGGGCTGGTGGCTTCCTGGCGCGCAGCATCTCCCACCCCAGGACCCCGAGGGCTGCTCTGCAGCGTCTCCCACCCCAGGACCCCGAGGGCTGCTCTGCGGGTGGGGCAGAGAGTGGCGCCATCTCCTGCCGGTTCCCTTGCTGTCACAGTGGGTCTGTGGCGTGCTCAGGCCCCAGTCTGGGAGGAACAGAGTGACACTGCTCGCTGGATTTTGAGTCGACTCAGCAGGCTTTAGAAGGAGGGAGGCGGGGTTTAGGGAGAGGAGGGATTGGGGCGGGGCCATACACAGGGTCTGTGTGTGTGCCTGTCGTTTTCCTGTGTCGCCCAAGCCCGGGCTGCTGAGCAGCCCGACCCCCCCCCCCCCCCCCCCCACATCAGTGAAGGAAGTGCAGGGCCTCTCATGGACCTGGCTGATGAAGCAGTGTGTGGGCTCTCAGAGGCACGGGGCTGGGTGGGCAGGCATTGCCACCAAGGGGGCTGGCGTTGCTGGGCCAGCTGGGACCAGAGGTTGGGACTCCCACTGAGGTCCCATTCCACTCAGATGGGACCCCGGCTGTGCCCCGTGCCCGCTGCACACCAGCTCCCTGGTGTCACCACTGTCCTCAGGGTACCCTTGGACGGCTGCCCTGCCACCCTTTGAGATGAGGCCTGGGGACAGTGGGAGAGGTTATGGTTGTGGTGGGGCTTCTTTGGGGTGCAGGGCTGCACAGGAGGTTGTTGGGGACCCCTTGCAGAGTGTGTGGGGTTGGATGACCTCAGGCCTGCTGGTCAGTACCTAGTGCTGGTCCTGCGCTGGCCTCGTGCTGTGTATGTGGTGTCCTTCCCTCGGGGGAGGGAAGAGAGCCCTTCACCGTGGCCCCGCCACCACGCGGGCAGGGCCAGGTGGGAGGGAGACCAAGGGTGTTGTGGGGGCTACCCACTGGGGGAGGGCAGTTGAGGTAGGGCCCGGTTTTCTGGAGCCCAGGCTTCCCTGGGTGGTTGATGGGCTGGTGTCCACTCACAGAGGACAGTGTCTGCACCATGACTGGGCACTGTGCTGAGCTGGGCAGGGCAAGGCCAGAGGGCTGGAGAGGAGAGGTAAGCCAAGGAGCCTGGATGGCCCAGTGGGTCACTTTTGGGCTGCTAACTGCAAGGTCAGTGTTTCAAGCCCAACAACCACACAGGAATTTTACTCTGTTTCTTATCAGGATCCCTGGTGGTACAGTGGTTATGCATTAGGCTGTGATCTGCAAGACTGGCAGTTTGAAACCACTAGCTACTCCTGGTCTTTCAACTTCCATGAACAGTTGCAGTCACAGAAACCCATGGGGAGTTTTACTCTGTTTTTTAACCAGGAACCCTGGTGGCACAGTAGTTATGTGATCCCAAGGCTAGCAGTTCAAAACCACCAACTGCTCCGTAAACAGTTGCAGTCTCGGAAACTCACGGGGGCAGTTCTACCCTGTTTTGTAGGGTGACTATGAGTCGGCAGTGAGTGTGTTTTTTAATGGGGCCACTAAGTCGACAGTGGGTTTCAGGGGAATCGCCGTCGTCTGAGGTTCAGCGGCAGAAGCCTCACCCTCCAGGAGTGAGGAGGGAGACCCTGGTTCTGTTCCCGGCCAGGGCACCTCCTGCATGGCCACCACCCACCCGAGGGGGAGGCTTGCCTGCTGTTGTGAGGCTGAGCTGGTTTCAGCACTGCCTCCAGACAGACTAGGAAGAAAGGCCTGCCCACCCACTTCCAAAAATCAGCTCTTCGAGTCACCACGGTTCCACGGTTCATGGGGTCACCCTGAGTAGGGACCAGCTTGAGTGCAGTCTCTAGGCTCCCAGGGCCTTCCTGCCACAGCCGAAGGTGTGGCTGTGCAGCCAGTCTCCTGCCCGAGCCCCAGTCACCAGGGAGGTGCAGGGCCTTGTCAGACCCGCTGATCCCCTGCCCCTGTGCTTCCCCGCAGGTCCGTCGACACAGCCCACCTCCAGGCTCGCTGCCACTCAGGACTCGCCCGTGGGACCAGGGGTAAGTCCCAGCCACCAGGCCACGCCACGTGCACGGGGAGAAACCCTCGCTTCAGAGTCCAGAAAAACGGGATTTATAAATTCTGGGTGTGAGACCAGTTGCTTTACATAGTTACAAACAGCTGGTCTCCTGCTGGCTTTGACAGGCCGGGAGGGGTCCTGGCCAGCTGACAGGGCCAGAGACGGCCCACTTGCCCCAGTGTTGCCCCAGGGTCTCCACGGTGCTGACTGCGGTGCCAGGATGTGAGGGGACGAGCTCCCCACTGACAGCTAATGGCCCTCCAGGCCCTGTCTAAGGTGCACCTGCGTTTTAAAATCGACACGTTCTTCCTGGCAGGTGGGTGTTGTTCAGAGACACTGAGGTGTAGTTTGTACTCCTCCCGTCCCACGGATCAGGGAACTCAAGGACCAGGCTCCAGGGCACCAGCTGGGCCTTTCAGGCCAAGCCTCCAGGCCTGGTGGGCGGGGAGGGGGGGTGGGGGTGGGCGCTGTAGACAGCGCATTTCTGGGGGTGGGTGGGGCTCCTTCTTGCTGGCCTGTTGGCCTATGTGGTGGGGCAGGTCCCTGCTTGACCACCCTTCAGGGCCTTGAGCCTCCCACATGGCCGGCCGGCACCTCCAGGCCACTTCCACTGTAGGGCTAACTGAGGTCAGCGGCAGCTTGTTGCTCCTGCTGACCCCACCCTGTCTGCCAGCATTGCTGGGACACAGACGTTCTGGGAAAATGAAGTACCCCAAGATCCAAGGCTGTCCCCCAGTGGGCACTGGGCGGCCAGGATGGGGGCCCATCCCGCCCCTCTTTTAACAGCTCTCTGTACCTCCAGCTGTTCAGGGACAACGCGTGACTCTCCACTTCCAAAGGCAGGGCAGATTCATGGTGCTTCAGGGGTATGAGGAGAGCTGACCTCTTGTGTCCCCAAGGAGTGATGAGGGTCCCTCTTATTCCTTCCCCCTCACCTGTTCTTCACCGACAGAGCATCCAGGCCCCCAGACCACCCCCTCCCTATGTCCACTCCTCCTTCGGGCTAGCTGCCATGTTGAACAGCAGCCTCCAGAGGGGCATACCCACTGGAGACAGGCCAGGATCAGAGACACGTGACTTCTTGAGTGGGGGGCCGGAGGATGCCATTTATAGGCCCAGCCATTTATAGCAGCACTCACTCCCCGACACATGCGGCTCAGCGTGTGCACTGCCCCATGCTCACCCTGCCTGGGAATTAGCACACTGAACTCACCCCACGGTCCTGAGATTTAGGTACCGTGGTACAGGTGGGTAGACTGAGGCAAGAGGGCAGGTGATTTACCCAGAGTCACACGGTGACTGACAGCAGAGTGCCACCAGTGCCGGGGGAGCAGTTGCCGCAGTGGTTGTTGCCCTCCCTCATTTAGCGGCTCTGTCTGCAGGAAGTCGGGTGCTGGCGTTGGAAGGGCCTCGGGGGTGGCCCAGGCCCGGAGAAGGTCTAAGCCAGGGTTTTCTCTCTCTCTACTAGGCTTTCTGTATTGGTCACAGTCCTGGGAAAGTATCACACTTTGGGGAAAATGACAGAATCACTTCTCCCAGTAATTACAGAAACTTAATGCCATTCCAGGCTACAGAACAGCCCGTCAGGAGACTTGGGGGAAGCCCCCCTCTCGGTCTCTGTCTTGTCCTCTGCCCCAGTGGTCCCCGGCAGCACGTGGGAGGGGCTCTGTCAAGGGAGGGTGGGGGTGTAGCGGGCGTGTCTCACCCTGCGCTCCTCTCTCTCAGCTGTCCATTTCTCAGCTGGCAGCATCCCCACAGTCCCCAGCCCAGCGCTCGCCATCCAGGCCTTCTCTGCAACCCGGCGGCTCCCTGCACAGCCTGGCACAGGCGGTAAGTCCCCCACGGCTCCCTCTCCCAACTTCTGCCCGGAGCCAGGCTCTGGGCCCAGGCTTGTGCTGGTCTTTCGTGGTGTGTGCTCTTGTGGTCCTGGCTGAGGGATGGGTTGCAGGCCTGCGGTGGGGACGTGGTGCTCCAGCTGCAGACTGAGCCTCACGGTGGTGTCTTTGAGAAGGGAGACGGGCCGTTGGGCCCTTGCAGCTGCTCGTCTGGGGGTTGATTTGGGTTTTAGACCAAGGTAGACTACCCTGAGAGTCTCTGTGCGTGGAAGGGGACTCTGTAAACAGAGGGCACAGGCCTCAGCTCCCAGACTCACTGTCCTTGCTGGCATGGCAATGGCTCAAGGGGAGTTAGCGAAGCCCACCCTCCTGGCTTTAGGAGCACTGATGGCTAAAGCAGGCCTGTGCTAACCTAGCCCGAAGGAGCCCCATGGAGTCTTGTCTCAAAAACCTGCAGGCTGCAGTTCAGTTTTTCCCTGGAAACCATGCTGAGGAACGGTCACTCCACTTACCCACACATTTGGAAACACTGATCGTGCCGCAGCATACCTTGTTCTAGAACATTCCTGGACACGCGTGCTTATGAAGAGCTGCGTGCCTTTCTGTTATTAGCCTCTGAGACCAGTGTTGGGACTCCCTCGGCCATGTGGTATTTTTCTCTTCTTGAGAACGGAGACAGAAAGCTTGGGACTCAGGCTTGGGAGAAAACGTCCCAGACACCTGGCTCCCAAGCAAGTTCTTCATCTGGGTGCACCGTCTGTCTACTGCGTGGGAGGCAGTAGAAGGTGGAGCATGGTACGCAGGTGACCTGGGGACAAGGCAAACCCCGGCAGGGGCTGGGCCTGCACACAGCCTCTGTGTGAAGTCACTGTCTCGGGCATCAGAACTGACCGGAACTGACCGGTTCATGTTGTCCGCGGATCCTCGTGGCAGTTAGGCTCCCAGAGAGCCTGGCCAGATGGAGTACAGGACACCCAGTTAAACTTCAGTTTGATAAGAAGGTCCCAGTTGAGGGATCCTGCTGGTACAGGGGTGTGCTATCATGCTAACTGAAAGAGCAGCACTAAGAGCCCATTAGCTGCTCCCTGGGAGCCCCATGGCATGTTGGACTTTTACTCCAAAGTCAGCAGTTTGAAACCCCCAGCTGCTCCTCGGGAGAAAGAAGAGGCTTCCGACTCCTGTAAAGGGTTGCAGTCTTGGCAACCCACAGGCGGAGTGCTATCCACAGAAGAAAGATGTGGCAGTCAGCTGCTGTGAGTCGCTTGGCTGCCAGGTGGATCTGACTAAAGCAATCCCACAGGAGGACGCAGAAGGGCCCCATTGGGCTTCTCAGGCTGCTCCTTGTCTGTAAAGCTCGCACCCTGCAAACCCTTTCAGGAGGCCATTCTCTGCCCCGCCGACTTGCTGTGAGCTAGGATCAGCTAAAGGGCGATAGGCTTGGCTTGGTTTTAGGTCCCAGTGTAGGGGGCCCGGTGGCACAGTCAGGAGCCCTGGTGGTATAGTGCTTATGTGTCGGGCTGCAGTCCACACGGTTCCCGGTTCAAAACTATCAGGAAGAAGATGGGGCTTTGTCCTCCTGCCCACAGTTTCCATCTCCAAAGCTCCCAGGGGCAGTTCTACCCTGTCCTGCAGGGCCACTGTGCATGGACATCGACTCCATGGCAGGGAGTTTGGTTTGGGTTTGGCAGCACAGTGGTTACGTCATCTAAAGGTGGGTGGTTTGGACCCACCAGCTGCTTGGTGATTTCTCCTGGACAGACAGCAGCCTTAGAAACCCTCTGGGGTAAGTCCATCCTGCCCCATGGGTCACTGCATCGGGGTGAACTCGTCGGCCCCCAGCAGCAACACCCCCAAAGTGTGATGTGGCATTACCTAGGCCAGCATTTCTTATCGCTTACCTGGAATTGACATGTACCCGGACCTCCTATTTGCTAAATCTGACAGCTCGGCAAGTCCCCTGATACTGGACCGCCACGGCCCCACTGCCTTACCTGGGGACCCTTATTCTGTCCAGCAGGAGCTCCCCTTTGAGGGCGGCATCTCTCACCTGGAAGCTGACCTGAGCCGCACTTCTGCGAACCTGGATGCATGTGTGGCCGAGCCGTTGCAGGAGCTGCCGTTCATGCCCCTGCATGCCCCTATCATCGTCGGGGCCCAGGTCAGGAGGTGAGGCTGTGGCTCTGATGGGGCTTGGGCCAGGAAAATACCTGTGTGGTCAGCCCTGCCTTTTTAAAAGCCCATAGAGGCCTGCTTCCAGGCTCTGCCCTCTCTGCCTGCCCTTCCTTGGGCAGCGGGCTGAGCACTGCCCTCTGTTCCAGCTCTGGAAGTGCGCTTTCCCGGGCCTCCATGGTGCTACTGCAGTCTTCCGGCTTCCCAGAGATTCTGGACGCTCAGCAGCGGCCAGCCAAGACCGTGAGCCCCACAGACCCGGTGAGGTTCAGCCCTCAGCAGGAGGAGGCCGACCCTCTGCCGGGCAATGAGATCGTGCTGCAGCTGCTGGCCTTCAGCCGGTACGTGTCACGCGTGCTGTTCTCTGCCTCTGGTTGGCGGGGCCTCTGCAGTCAGGGGTGAACTAGACCCAGAGGAGCCGTCTGTCTGTGCTTTCTTTTAGTTGGGACACTAGCCCCATGTCCCAGTCCCCAGGGCTGCTGCAGCAGAAAGCCCCGTGCGGGTGCTTGAGCACTCATGTCCACGCTCACGGTTTAGGAAGCTGGTCGTCTCCATGAAGAGAGTTGGCTCTCCAGGAAGGCTTCCCGCGGAACGGGGTCTGTCTCCCTTCAGTTCTGTTCCTCTGCTCCCTGGCCACCTTCATGGGGGTGGCATCTGCTCTCTCTGTCTGTGCCAAGGTTATGTATGCATTGGGCTGTGAACCACAAGGTCAGCGATTTGAATCCATCAGCTACTCCGAGGAAGAAAGAGGAAGCTCTTTACTCCTGTAAAGATTTGCAGTCTCAGAAACCCAGAGGGGCAGTTCTTCTCTGTCTCACAGGATCGCTAAGAGAATTGCCTCAGTGACAGTGAGTGAGAAGCCCGTCAGTCTTTTATAGGAGCAGATAGCCTCCTGTTTCTCCCTCGGAGCAGCTGGGGGGTTTGAACCGCTGACCTTGTAGTTAGCAGCTCACCCCCTAGCTCACAGTGCCACTAGGGCCCCTGCTGCACACGTGCAGGGGTTAGGGATCCCGCACAAAGGGAGCCTGGTGGTGCCGTCATTAAGCACTCAGCTGCCAGCATGAAGGCTAGCTGATGGAACCCACCGGATGTGTTAGTCTGCCGTCCTCGCGATGGCACTCTTGGGAACTCAGTGGGGCAGTTCTGCCCTGTTCTGCAGACACACTGAGCCCGAACCAACTTGATGGCAACATGGGTTTTAAATTCCATTATGTGTTCGGGAGAGGCATGGTCCCTAACACCCAGCCTTGCCCAATTGGCTGGGACCCCCAGAGAGAGTGTGGACAGTGTGCAGCCAGGCCCCGGTGTTAGTTCATGTAGCTCCTGGAGCCATGTCATCACCCAGGAGCAGCTGCAGGGCCCAGGCTGTGTCACCATGCTGTGTGTGTGGTGGCAGCAGCCCAGTGCTGTGACGGGTAGCTGACTCATCCAGAGCTGTTGTTGGATCCAGGGTACCGCAGGACCACAGGGGAGCGCCGTGGCCAAAGACCGTGTATTTCACCTTCCAGTTCTACCGCTTCCCGCCTGCCACCACGCCCCGCTTGCAGCTGGTGAAGCTGGAGGAGGTGGGGAAGACCAGCACGGGCTCCCTGTCCCACATTCTCATTCAGATCAACAAAGACGGCTCCTCCGATGCTGGTACGTACGGACGTACAGACATGTGAGCGGGGAGTCTCAGCACCCCGGTTTTGAAAACCTACTGTTTCTCTCTCGTTCTTTTAAAACTTACTGTGAAGATTTCAAACATATCAGAATTGGAGAGAAGCACATCATGAATCAATGTTGTGGCTGCTCAGCAATCAGCTCTCCCCTGACCCACTTTCCTCCCCAAACCCGGAGGATCCGGAAGCAGATCCCAGACATAGTGTTTTTCACCTATAGATGGACTGAGGGTGGCGTGGGGTGGTGGTGTCTCTCTCTTCTTTTCCTTAAAAAAAAAAAAAAAGAGAGACAACCATATTATCCCACTTAAAATTGCAAATCTGGCTAGACCAGAGGATGTACATTGGTACAGATAGCAACTGGAAACACAGGGAATCCAGGATAGATGACTTCTTCAGGACCAGTGGTGAGAGGGGCGATGCCTGGAGGGTGAAGGGAATGTGGGGTAGAAAGGGGAACCAATTACAAGAATCTAAGTATAGCCTCCTCCCTGGGGGAGGGACAGCAGAGAAGAGAGTGGAGGGAGACATCGGACAGTGTAACTTATGACAAAACTATAATAATTTATGAATTGTGAAGGGTTCATGAGGGAGAGGGGAGTAGGGTGGGAGGGGGAAAATGAACAACTGATATTAAGGGCTAAAGTGGAAGGCAAATGTTTTGAGAATGATGAGGGCAACAAATGTACATATGTGCTTGACAAATTGATGTATGTATGGACTGTGATAAGAATTGTACTTGCCCCCAATAAAATAATTTAAAAAAATTAATAATACCTTCTTAGTATCTTCAAATAGCTAGCCAATGTTAATAGTAGCCCAGTAACTCCATAGATTCCTCTCCCCCCCATAGTTTGTTTCACTTGATCTTAGTAAGTAAGGGCCATAGGTTATAATGGCTGGGCTGGACCTTTCGTTCTATTTTATTGGGATCTCATCCAACTCTTATCATCATCCATCCATCCATCCATCCATCCATCCATCCATCCATCCATCTATCCATCCATCCATCCATCCATTGTGTCAAGCACATTTGTCCATTTGTTGCCTGGGCTGGATCTTAAGCCTGTTTGTTTTCATTTCATTTCTATTGTGATCCACCTGTGGTGGCCACTAACTGAAAGCTCAGTGGTTGATCTGCCAGTGGGTCTGCAGGAGAAAAGGCCTGGCAACCTGCTCGTGACGTGAAGACGCCAGCCTGGCAAAACCTGGGGGGCAGTTCTGCTCTGCCATGTAGGCTCACCACGGGGTCCCCCACAGCAGCAGCCTTCTTTGTACTGTTTTGCAGTATCACCACTGTTATCTCAACACCCGAAACGGAAACTGCTCCCCCCCCCCCACCCTTCCTGTCTCTCGGAATTGGTGCAATGTCGCTCTTTCCCGTCAGGGGTTATATGCTCGGTGTCCATGAACATGAACTCTGCCATGAACACTGTCCTCGTTCCCCTCTCCCGCCTCTGTGTTCGCCTCTCTGTTCATTTGTAGAAGACGCTGTGGTCTTCCTCTTATAGAATGCTTATGCTTTGGGCGTGGTTTTTGTGTGGCCACAGGGCCGTTGCAGGGGTCTCTCGTGCCCCCATTGTCCCTGTAAATTAGTTAACTCAGATGCTGAATCGGATGGATGTTTGCTTTTTAATTTGAGGCGGGGAGAGGGGGGTGGCGGGGACGCATTGGTCACAGCTAGAGGGGTGGTGCCTCTCCTTTGGTCAGGTCAGCAGCCATAGCACCCCACCACCCCCATGATAGATGACTTGTTCCATGGGAGATCATGCATGGACATTCCTCTTCCATGGTGCTGTCTCTGAGCCGGACCGCTGCCCCTCAGCAGCCAGCTGGGTCCTGCAGGTTCTGGGGCTTTGAGGAAAGGCAGGGTTAGTCCTTCCCCTTGTTTGCTAATTTCCAGAATAACTGCGTGCTTCCTTGAACCAAACACCTTAACCCACTGCTGTCAAGTCAACCAACTCTGACCCACAGCGACCCCAGCAGCCTCCCGCAGCAGAACCAGGGCCTTGTTCCATTAGAACGGATGGATGTAAGCTTACAATGGCCCCGAACACACCAAATGCATTTTTCTTTTATACTGATTTCTCAGCAGCCCTGCTTTGTCCAGCACAGGGCAGTGCTGGGTCGGAGCCTCCACCACTTCCTGCAGTAGAAAGAATCGGGGGAGAAACGATGCACGTGGAGGGAATAGTAAACAGAAGAAAGCAATGGAACAATATTAACATCTGACAAAAGCGATTTTATTGGGGGCTCACATGAGCTCTAGTCCCAATCTAAGATCAATTGGTTGTTTGTGTTAGTAGTGTTCAGTTACTGAAGAGTTCAACCCTTACAAGTCCACAATTGGTGTACGATGGTTCATAGTTGGCCTATACCCGTATCTTTTAAAATCCTATACCATTGGCTAAATTAACGACACTGTCAATGCGTAATGGGTACGAATTGGGCTGCTCACCGCAACCACCAGCCAGCTCCTCAAGGGAAGATTTGCAAGCTCAGAGACTCACGGGCGCAGCTCTACCGGGCCCTGTGGGGTTGCTATGGGGCAGCCCTGACTTGCTGGCAGTGGAAGCGATGCCCCAGGGGTATGACTGATAATGCTCTCTAAAAGAATGACAGTGATGCCTCTCAGGTGAACCAGAGACATACCCTGTTTCCCGAAAATAAGACAGTGTCTTATATTAATTACTGTTCCCAAAGATGTGCTAGGTCTTATTTTCACGGGATGTCTTATTTTTCCATGAAGAAGAATACGGTACACATTTATTATTTATTGTTTTATTAAAAGAGATCTCGCACTTCCTGTCTGCTCCGGCTGCGCTGCAGCCAGCAGTGAGCTGCGCGGTGGTGCCCGCCGCTACTGTCCCGAGTCTAGAGTTACGGTAGCTTGGGGGGGGCGCGTATTTTTGGGGAGGTCTTATTTTGGGGGGGATGCCTTATATTTCAGCGAGAGGCAAAACTGTAAGTAGGTCTTATTTTCGGGGGATGTCTTACTTTCAGGGAAACCGTATATAAACCATAGATGCATGAATGGATTTTGGACTTGCACTTAATTCTTGCCCATATCTAAAAACAATTACTTGCTTGATGCTTAGCTTCATGAAGAGATCACTGAAGATACGGGTGACATAGCAAAATGGTGAAGAGGCTAGGTGGAGCCCGGCTATCAGAGAGAACAGGGTCTGGGTTCTTACAGGCTTGTTTTCAAACAAGCAGCCATCTAAGGTAGGCTTCAACTAAGTCCATGCAGAAGAAACATACCAGCCAGTGTGATCCAAGGTTCATAAGTAATAAAACCCAAATCCCAAGGAGGGAATGGTATCAGAACTTAAATTAGGAACACCCAGTTTACATAAGGCTATGGATGACAGTGGGAGCCCCAAATCCACTTGCAGGGTCCCTACACGAATTAAGTCTGTGGTGAATCCCCTCTGACCGTAGTGCAGGGGTTTGAATAGCCTTGCGATCAGACAGCAGTATAAAGTCGAGGATGGCAGTTGTGGTTAGGGGGAAATTTGATCTTCCCTTTGACTCATTTTAAAGTCCTTTCAGTTTTTTTATTGAGGTTTTTCTGTTTTTATCGAGTCTTGTTTTTGTTGTTATTGTTTGCTTCCTGTTTGTGCTGTGTATGATTTTCTGTATACGAAAGCCAGGATAGGTTGATCTATAGAGATAGTAACTGGATTAATAGTTTCCTGGGGGCATGGCAGGGAAGGATGGGGAAATAGGATACTAATGACAATGAGTATGAGAAGAAAATGTTCTGAAATTGATTGTAGTGATGGTTGGACAGCTTTTCTTAATATGACTGAATGACTGTATTGTATGATATATGAAGTATATGCCAATAAAACAATATAAAAAAAGAGATTTTAAGGCAAATGCATTATTAGGGATAAAGAAGGCAATTACATGATAATCAAGAGAATAATTCACCAGGAAGATGAACACTCCTGAACCTGCAAACATTGTAGCATCAAAATAGAAGGGGAAATTGATAAACCCACAAGCAGTGGAGGTTTTAGCACATTTCTCTCAGCAAATTGATAGATCAAGCAGAAATGAATGAGAATGCTATGAAGTATAATTTAAAATGATATTATAAAACCTGTAGCCCCAATTTAGACAAAATGCATTCTTTTCAGACATGCCTGGAAGCTTGTACAATCGGATCACATCGTAGGCCCTCAGGTAAGTATGACCACATACCTAGGGAACTCATGACATCTAATTCAGTGGCACTCTCTGATCAAAAAGTGACCGTTGTTGCTGTCTTGTTCTTCTCCTGCTGCTGTTAGAAGTACTGTGCAGGGTAGCTTTAGAGATCAGACCTATTTTGTCTCAGTCTCTGGAGCTAAAAGCCCACATCAGGGTCTCAGCTGTGTGGATTCCTGGCTTGTCCTTAGCCCCAGGTGTTTGTCTTGTCACATGGCTGTGGTACCATCGCCCGTGTCTGATCTGCTCATTCTTAACTCAGAAGTGGTGAGATTAATAGCCCATCCTTAGTTGTGATATAATTAACATTACAAAGAAAACCCGAGTTCCACACAGGATCACATCCAGAGAATCAGGGTTAGGATTCTAATGAGTATTTTGCAGGGGCTCACAACTGAACTGATATCAACATCATTATGTTAGTCTGTACTTTAGAGAAACAAATCCACAGAAACTCATGTATAGGAGTTTTATATATAGGTTAAGCGCACATCAAGAAAACATCCCAACCCAGTGCTGCCCTAGCCCACAAGTCCAACATTAACCCACATGTCCGACACCAATCCACAAAGTCCTCTTCCATCTCACAAAGCACACGCAATGATGCCAACAGCAGGAGGAAAGCTGAATCCGTGAACGTGTAAGCATCTCAGCGTTGGCAGGGGTCTCCACACGGGTGCTCCAGGGCTGCATTGGGGTAGGTCCATGCGGCTTCTCGGGGATGTCTCCCAGGAAGTGAGCCTTGCCAGCTGAAGCAGG